ATCTATCTATCTATCTATCTATCTATCTATCTATCTATCTATCTATCTATCCTACAGAATTTTATTTATTTTATTTCGTGCAATCTTTTCAACACTCACTCATAAAAACAAGTAAATAAATGACCCAAACTATCTTATTTTGCTTTATCGTTCAGACATTAAAAAGGACGTCAGGATTAATGGAGAAGATCCAGTTCTGGCAAACCTCTAAACTAACATTTTATCTTTTAAATGATCCAAATAAATAGTTTTCTCACTCAGAAACCCAGATGTGGAGTTCTGATTGGACCCAGATGTGGAGCTTTAATTAAACCCAGATGTGGAGCTTTAATTAAACCCATAGAGCTCTAATCAGATCCAGATGTGGAGCTTTAATTAAACCCATAGAGCTCTAATCAGATCCAGATGTGGAGCTCTGATCTCTGTTCTGATTGGCTCTCAGCTCGTGGTCACATGGCTGCTGCCTCCATTTTTTAAATGTCTGAACCACGAAAGTCCCTAAGAGACGAGTCAGATTAAAAGCAAACATCCTGCTGAGGTTTCTGCCGTTTAACCGCCAGAAACTCAAACCTGGAGGATCCGGTTTGTCCCTCCAGGCTTCCGTAGCAGAGGAAAAGAGCTCACAGTTTCACATCTGAACACACAAATTACACCCAATACACTCAATCTCATTTTCATATCATTTTATTTATTTTGAAAGATGATATGGTTTAACAATGTTTACATTGAATGCTTCATAAACATGCATCATGTTTCAAAAAGGAGTAGGATGATAATATCATAAACTTATTAAGCCCCCCCCCTCAGTTACATGAGTCATGGTGGTAAAGGACAATTATTTACAGTAAGACTAACAGTATAACTTTTTGTATATAATCTAAATTCACACCAAACATCAGCCACTGTCTGGACACAGTTTGGTATGAATTTAGATGATTTATGATCCAGAAATTGTTCATATTTGTGAAGATAATCTAAAATATTTATGGATCTAAACTAAAACCTTTGTCTGTGCGAAACAGTGTGGAATCCAGCCTAAAAATTCCAATTATCTGTAAGATATTCAGTTCAGTTTCAGTCTGAAAACACCTTTAAGTTGGACTTTTTACAGGAGAAAAGGGCTAAAAACCTGCTCTGTATCAGACCAAAGCAAACCGGTGTGAAGCTCTAATGGCAGATCTCAGAAAATAAACAGTTTTTACTATTTTTACTGAGTCAGTTTGGCTCTATGTGAGAATCAGCAGCTTTCAGAGGTTTGCAGCTCAGCTTTTTCTGTAGTTGCTCTAAACTGGGGGAGGGGGGGGGTGAACTTCAGGCCTTTTCTTTCCCCAGTGTTTGGTATTTGTTGACTAAGCCCCGCCTGAATGCCACGCCCTGTTTCCCAATAACGACGTTTCAGTTTGAAAAGCTTTCCTTTGAAACCAAGAGGGGAAATAATCAGAGAAATGATGAGTCAGCAACGGAAAATATGAGTACTGGGTT